AGGAAGTGGGGGGGATGTGGTGTGGGTGGGTGGGTGTGGGGGTGGGGTGCGGCGGCGGTGCGGCGGGCTTGAAGAATTCTGGACATACCAACGGCAAGGCAAGTGCGACAGGTGAGAGTCTTTCCCACAATCTGTTTACTTACAAATTCATTTCTCCATGGGGTGCCCCACCCATGGTGTAGAAACAGGACTCAGCGGATTTCTGTGTGACTTCCAATGAAGTGACACTTCATTGCTAATTCGGAATAGAAAAAACATCGGAGGCCCCCCTCAATCAGCCAGAACACGAGGACCAGGTCAGGTGCCCCCATCTGGGACGCATCCTGACACAAATCCAAGCACTGATCATACAGGATCAGAAACGTTACCCAAAAAACTGCATCCAAGTCATACCAAATGTGGCCCACTTCAACAAATAAGAAAACACCTTTGAACAGTAGGGGGCGCCAAACCTAGAGTAAGGTTTGCGGCGGCGTAAATGCTTTACATGCAGGCTGAATAGCTTTCTGGCAAAACACAGTGATTCAAAAAAAAATTTTTTTGCGCACATTTTTTTAGGAGCTATCAGACATGACGTAGGACGTATTCGGTGACCCTTAGAATTTCCATCGGGGGCAGACAGAGGATGGAGGCAGTCGCTGAGCGCAGACAAAAGCCTCATTTCAATTCTAACAGCCATAATTGAAGGTTAATTCACTGACTCGGGATTAACAAGGGGAGAGCACATGACGGGCAAGCGGCAACCTTTAATAATGCAGGATTAGAACAACACAATTACGCCAAGAATCACCATTATCAACCCTGAGTTAAAACATGCTTATGATAAAGAACGGTCTAATTTCTTTGCCTTTTTAAAATATTTTTCTTTTCGCTGGACTAAATAAAGCAAACTCATTAAATAAATTAGCTTTGTAAATGGATTAGCAAACTGATTATAATAAGAAACCTCTTACATTCTACCGTACTCTCAAAGGCAGTGAAGGCAGAAACTGTAAACAGAAGGGAAAAGCAGTTTTAGGATCTGCACTGCTGTTACGACACAGGTTTATATGCTAATAAACAATTTTGACAATCTCTTTCCTGCACGCCGACTTTTCATGGCATTTTCCCCCAAAGAGCATTACCCAGAAATCCCCTGCACTGAAATGCCTTCAGCCATAATGTCCTTACAGAGATAAAGGACTCAGGACAAGCCGCTGGCTGTGTGTCACATGAGCTATGATTCAAACCGCCCGAATAGGGCATGACCGAGGGGCCAGCCCGGTGACGGCCAATCAGATGGCAGCCTGTGTCCAACACAGCAAGTGCAGGGCAAGACCCCCCATCAATGACCAGGACATTCAGGCTGGGCCACACTGCTCCAGCTCTCAGAACTCAAGGAAAGAGTGTTACAGTAACCACACAAGGATCTGATGGCTGGACACTTACTGGGGGGGGGGGGCAAGGTCAAATATTAGGTACAGGGGGCAATGTTTGGTGCTCAGTGTGCCGATACTTGGTACCTGGGAGAGTAACTGGACCTCTTACCAGAGACTGGAACAAGTCTGACTTAATGATAGAGCAAAAACTCCAGAACAAGCATCAGTAACTAATGTTCAGCCATAATTTAAAGGCTTATCTTAAAATGCATTCAGACTCTTCTGATTATGTTATGGCCTGAACATGACAGTGATATTCTGGCATCTTTTTCACATCAGTGGGGTTTCTGCCATTTCTGCAAATCTGAGGGATAAATAAATCAATACCATTAGCTGACCAATGGTTCAGTACAATTAATAACTCGCATATTGCTACTGCAATTAGAAACACATTGTTTTACAATAGAGCTGAAAACTGTGTTTTCACTTCTACAGTTATGCACATGACAGCAGACTGTTAAATATACGCCGTTCACTTAAGTGAAAAGCTGGCATAACACAGGCGCTCCATGACTTACGGGGGGGGGGTCACATTCCAATAAGTTGTATATGAATATGACATGAAAAATAAAAATATATATTGTCACTGAATAAGAAGCGAATTACCAGTAACTGAAAAAAAATGAATACAAGTTTATTTGGTCAAACAGAAATTTTTTTTAATAAACATTGTACGTTATATTGTTAAAAACCGTGTGATGCTCACAGCTGCAATAGAGAATGGAAGCGTGGCTGCATAGATGTTACCATCACCCAGCATCGGTAAAAAGTATCAGACGGCGTATCGCTAGCCTGTGAACACACCAAAATTCAAAGCTGACTACCGAACGTGCAGTACTTTTACAGAAAAATTATACAGTCGAAATAATGTAAGTTGAGGAGCGTCTGTATATATACTGGCGAGAGCTAATGAGCATGCAATTTGTCACAGGTGATATTAATTTACAAAACCGGCCCTGTCTGTCCAGCAGAGTTGGTGCTGAGCCGTAGCCATTTAACATGCCGGATTAACCTCCCAGACGTTCCTTGAAGTTAACCAATCACAGCTAATTCGCAGTTACTTAAATTTCCTAACGGGGCACTCTACCGAAAATGAGCGCAATGTAACCCGAGGACTCATTATCGAATTCTTACAAATTCCTGGAAAATCTGCACCTTTCACCAAATGTGGGGGGTGGGGGGGGGCTTATCACAGGCAACATGCGTCACTTTGCTATTACTAAGCATTACGGCTAAATGGGGGGGGAAGCCGAAAGAGTGTCACTCCCAAAGCTGAGGACCGCTGATGAGACACAGCTCTGTCCCCTTGGATAGACTCACACTTATAAAGCAATATCCAATTACAGAGCCAGAAGCTTTGTATAATAGCCTGCAGAGCCCAGTCCAGGAATAGAAAAAGCTGCACATATATATGGAATAGAATATCAGGGTCACTTTCTCGTCTATTTGCCTTATATCTCCATTCCTCAGATACTAATTAATTTCTCAGCGCTGCAAAGCCGCCGCTGCTCTGAGCTCCTTAATATGATTCATTTGGCCTTTTACACAAGGGAAGGTTAAAGTATATTCTGTGGGACTGAACTCGAGGTCTCCCCTGGCATTGAGACATTCTATCCCTATGTAACGAACCCTAGCCAGAGCATGGCAGTGAGAAGCACATCAGACGTACCTTCAATACTATGTGCAGGAAGCTGGTTGTGGAAATTTTGGGGGGGGGCGGGGGATAAATAAGGAAATTTGCATGGAAGTGTCACTTTGAGATATGACAGCTCCTTAGAATAAACTCTGCTTTACATGCACATATTTAATGCATATATTATATAAAATCACTTCCTGGATTGCACTGTCCTTTCTTTGTACTGTTCTTCTGATCTGTATTACACTGTTCTTTGTCCTATTGTCCCCCCCCCCATGCACCTGTTCCCAACCCTGCAACTGTGGCATAAGGGCTGAGCGATATCATATGATATTATTATTATATAATCACCAGGGCTTCAGATGACAGCCGCAACATTTGGCCAGATATGATATACGGACATTTATTTACGCCCACAATTTAAGCAGTTTAGTAGTATGGCTAAAATATTAATGAGGCTTTGTATGACGCCCAAAAGTCATTATTAGTATAAATACGGCATATCCTTATGTTTAATAAATGTGTCAGACTTTGAACTGCAAAAAGTACCTCCACACCGCCGACGTCTTTTTACCTTGTTTATCCACAAGATCTCCTCTTTTAAAAGATATCGTGGCTGCTCTTCTTCACCGCGACTTCAGTGCATATTGCACTGAGGTATACCAAACCGTAGTACACCAAAACAGTATTATGTGGGGTGCTCCGCTAATCGAATTTAAGAAACAAAGTTTATACAGATTACTAACTTTTGGGTATCACAAAACGCATCTCATTAATATTTAAGCCATGCTACTAATACTCTTACCAAATTATGGGCGTAAATTAATGTCTGCATATCACCGAAAAGCTGGCGTCCGGAAAAATGCTTCGTCTGTCATCTGACCAGGGCGGTGATTATTGCGCATGCACAATATAATATCAATATGATATCGCCCAGCCCTAACTGTGACATGTAACAAAATTTGAAGCTCCAGATGTACCTGGTGACATCAATTGAGATTGTGGGCCCCATGAAATTATAGCGAATTGGGCCCCTAACCCACAACAATCCAATTATGTTCCCAAATTTGGGGCCCATGGAATCATCCTAAATCCCCCCCCCCCACTTCAAGGCACCCCCTGGTGGCAGTGATGGGAAGGTTAGGACTTAAAGAAGCTCCAGCCAGTATCACAAAAACAGACAATTCAGGATTCAGGTCCTAATTGTTCAAACAAACACATAAGCAGGGATGACAGCAGGTTCCAATGAGATGATGTTAAGGGAAGATGAAAGTGACCCGGCAAGCAACATTGCGGCCTGAACACCGCGACAGGGGAATCCTTCAAATGAGGAAAGAGTCGTCAGGCTGGAAAAGGTCAGCAATCAGACACAGGGTCTGCAGCGAGACAGCGGCCGACGGCAGAGAGGAGCCACGCACAGCCGAGTGCTGACAGACCAGGGGGGTTCGGGGGTGACAAAGAGAGGCCATTTGCCACTGAGGTAGGGTGGGGAAAAAGGTCAGTCCGCGAAGGACATCCCTCACTGCACATTCACCCGAGAAAGACAACTCGTCACGTCAGACAAAAGAGATGGCAAAGAAATACACACACACACACACACACACACACACACACACACACACACACACACACACATATATA